TTCCAGGCCTGAGCCTAGAACTCTCTTTTATTTTTTCAGGGAGGCAGGGTCTACCATAGCCCAAGTTAGCAGGACTAGCTATGCTGCTGAGCATATCCTGAACTCCTGATCCTTCTGCCTCCACTTGGGTGTACAAGCGTGTCCCAGTTTATGTGATGCCGGGGTGGAGTACAGCACTTCAATCAAGCTAAGCACTCGCCAGCTGAGCTACAGCCATGGAACTCCCTTTTTGGTTTCCTTTTAAAAATAAAACAAAACAGCCAGGCAATGTTAAAGTGGCTCACCCCTTTAATCCTAGCACTGGGAGGCAGAGGCAGGCGAATCTCTGAGAGTTGGAGGCCAGCCTGGTCTGGTCTTCAGAGTGACTGCCAGGACAGGCTCCAAAGCTACACAGAGAAACCATGTCTCGAAAAACAAAAACAAACAAATAACATTTTTTTTTTTTTTTTGGTTTTTCGAGACAGGGTTTCTCTGTGGCTTTGGAGGCTGTCCTGCCACTTGCTCTTGTAGACCAGGCTGGTCTCAAACTCACAGAGATCCGCCTGCCTCTGCCTCCCAAGTGCTGGAATTAAAGGTGTGCGCCACCACCACCCAGCTCAAAAACCACTTTTTAAAACACCTCATTTGTTCATTATCTTTGGGCCTGTGTGTTTGTATGTGACGAACCACACAGGCACTGCTTCTCTGCTTCCACCATTGGGTGCTGGGGCTCAAACTCAGGTCATCAGGCTTGGTGGCAGGCCCTTGACTGAGTCATCTTGCCAGCCTGACCATAGGTCTTAAAGAGGTAGGATGCAGTTCCTTGCCAAAGGCATCAGTGACAGGTACAAGGTGTGCCTCTCATGCAATGACATGCAACAGATAACTGCATTAGCTAGCAGGTGAAACACTCAGCTGGAATGGTAGCTCCATTTCCTACAGAGGTGACAGACTCTGAAAGGAAAAACACTCACAGGAAAGAGCTCAGCCTCAGCTTCCCAGGTTGGAGCCCCAACTTCCTGGGCTCTTGTCCGAATGAGGAAAGGAAAAAAACAAAACAAAACAAAACAAAAACAGCTAGCTTCTCTTTGTTACCCCTAAGGCTAAATAGCAAAGGTTAGGTAGTGACCAAGCCCTCCTGAGAGCCACAAAACTATGGGCTGATGCACATAGCTGGTTAGCCAAAGGCTTCAAATGCAAAAGCTTCCAAAAAGATAGGAGCAGCCCCAGGCAGAGGACCCAGTGAGTTACCCACTAACTCAGCTTACCCCAGGGTAAGGGTCTTGGTCTTACTTATTTTTAACTTCTGGAGCCTTAGCACTTGACAACAGGTATTCTACAAAACTACATATAGCTCCCCATCCAAGGGGCTGACTGCTTTACCTACCATGCACAAAGCTCTGGGTTCTGTCCCCAGCACTACATAAACCCAAGCATGATGGTGCAAACCTGCAACGCCAGGACTCAGGAGGTGGAGCCAGGCGATCAGGAGTTAAGTTGATACAGTCATTTCAAAGCCAAAGTCCTTGTTTGTTTGTTTGTTTGTTTTTAAAGAGATGTATGGTGCTGGGGAGCTGGCTCACTGCCCAAGCATGAAGACCCGAGTTCAACCTTTGGCACCCACGTAAAAAACCAGGCATTATAATGCACACTTGTCACTCCAGCACTGTGGAGGCCCAGACAGGTGAATTCCTGGGGCTTACTGGCCAGTCAGCCCAGATTAATCAGCAAGTTCCAGGTTTTAGTGACAGACCACGTCTCAAAAATACCAAGTAGCTGGCTCCTAAGGAATCACTCCTGTGGCTATACCCTGACCTCCACACAGTCACACTCAGATGTGTGCAGAGACACACACAAAGGAACCTGGGGCCCACAAAGTCCAACTCACTTGACTAGAGACACAAAGTCAATCATGGCAGATCTGTGCTTGGGGGCCTCAGACGTCCAAACCATTATCATTACTCTTTAGAAACTTCTGGGTAGTTTCTGGCTCTGGAGGAATCTGGACTTCATGTGAAACTTGTTAATCCACATTTCAAGTCCTTGGCCCCCAGGACTAGCAATCTGCAAGAGGCTGGACCAACTGTGTCATCCACATGTATACCAACACTCTTCGAAAAATCCAAAGGCAACACAGACAGGAAGCAGTCCAAGCTGTCCCCAGGTGCTGGGTTGGTTGAAGCCCTTGGCACACTCTCTTCTTTGCTCCTGGGTGCCAGCCAGATGCCTACTGTACATTCAAGAACAGCAGAGGAAGGAAACAGACTCTCATTTCTGAGTCTGTTTAGTCAAATTCACAGCAGGAGATACAGAATAGGATTGAGTGGGACCCACCAAAAGACCCCTCTTAGCAGGTTCCTTCAGCCCAGGGGCCTTAAGACATTCTAGAGCAAAAAGAACTTAATGCCAGGCATGGCAGTACATGCCTGTGACCCTAGCACTTGGAAAGTGGAAGCAGGAAAAGATTATTACACTTCTGGGGGCCAACCTGTGTCACATGGTGAGTTCCAGGTCAGCCTGGACTATATAGTATGAGACTGTCTCAAAATTTTGTTTTGAAAAATAGAGGAATGGTGGTGCATACCTTTAATCCCAGCACCCAGGAGGCAGAAGCAGGTGGATCCCTGTGGGTTCAAGGCCAGCCTGGTCTAGAGAGTGAGACTATATCTAAAAAAATTAATTAAAAATAGGTGTATGTACATATACATAAAAAATTCAGTACCTAAAAGCCACAGTCTTACAAAGGTCTCTTTGAGTATGAAGCAATCAAAGAGAACATAAATGGCAATAATATTTATTATCGGTTTAATGCTAAGGACTAACCCCTAGGGCCTTATTCATGCAAGGCAACTGCTCTATGCCTGAGCTACAACCACAAGCCACTCCTGGCTTTTTTTTGAGACAAGATCTAACAATGCAACCCAAGGTGACCATAAACTCAAACCTTGTCCTGCCTCAGACTCCTGAGTACCTAAGATCACAGGTACATCTAATTTAGCCTAAATCGACACTTCCAACATCCAAGTACATCCTTGAACCAACCTATATGGGTTTTTTGTTTGTTTGTTTGTTTGTTTGCGACAGGGTCTCACTGTATAGCCTTGTCTACCCTAGAACTCTATGTAGAGTAACATAGCCTCAAATTCAGAGATGTTCCTCCTTCCACAAAAGACTGTCAACAACAACAACATGCACTAGGGAGAAGGAGGGAAGGAAGTAGGGAGTGTGTGTGTGTGTGTGTGTGTGTGTGTGTGTGAGAGAGAGAGAGAGAGAGAGAGAGAGAGAGAGAGTGTGTCTGTGTAACCCAATGCTAGGGTGAGGCAGAGAGAGGTGGATACACTGGAGCTCACTGGCCAGCCAGTCTAGCTGCTCCGTGAGCTTCAGACTCAGACCACGTCTCAAAAATTTCAGATGGAGCCTGGCAGTGGCTACACACACCTTTAATCCCAGCACTCGGGAGGCAGAGGCAGGTGGATCTCTGAGTTCAAGGTCAGCCTGAGCCACAGAGCAAGTGCCAGGATAGGCTCCAAAGCTACACATTCAGATGAAAAGACAATGAATGATATGGCTCAATGGGCAAAGGGGCTTGCTTGCTATGTAGGTCTGATGCCCTGAGTTTGATCCCCAGGACCCACATAAATGAGGGACTGCACAAAGATGATGTTCTCTGACCTCCACAAGTGCACTGTGGCACACACTTGGACACACGGACACACACAGGCACAATAATGTCCACAGCAAAGCAAAGATTATCACTGGGCACACACCACAGCATCATACATGGAACACTTCCTGGAATGGAGAAGTGGTGCTGTGTGAAAAGCAGCGGGGGAGGGGATAGGAGTAAATCAACATCCCTCCTTCACTCACTTCCTGGATCATAGAAACAGCTGCAAGTGGAATTTGCCCACTGGACAGATGGAACAAGCTGAGGCTCCCAGAGCTGTCTGGAGAGCTCTCCAACCGGGAAGATTTAGCTTAGGAGCCAGCTAGTAGTTTCTCTAGGATCCTGGGCCAGGAAAGAATCCTAAAGAATGTTTCTTCTCAAGCACTGCCCCCCCCCCCCCCCCCCCCCCCACTCAGAGAGGATGGGACAGGCAGAGTTGACTGGGCGGTAATGAACAGCAGGGCATACTAACGGAACGGATTCACTTGGAAGACAGAAGCCAATGGCCCAAGAGAACCAGACAACAGAGGCCCCTAAAAGTTCAGGCGTTCAGGTGGCAGAGACCAACTCGGGTAAGCAAAGGGCACAGATGGGCATTTGCACACCAGAGGTCACCATAAACAGCTAGTCAGACAACAGTGGACTTCGGGGTGGGTCTGGACAGATGGGACAACCAAATGGTGCCGGTAGGAAGCCTGTCTAGAACGAATAAACAGCTAACCAGACGGCAGAGAAGGCTCCACATAGATAACCAGCCTGACAGACCCAGGGATCATCCCCCATGGGGGGGCTGGATGATAAGTGTAGCTTCAGTAGCACGCACACTAAGATTTACAGGTAGCAGGAGAAAAGAGTGGATCTATCCTGGATCACAGGCAATGCGATGTCACAGTTCACCAGCGATAGCTGGGACTCAGTGCACCAAGAAGGATCTGCATTGGCCATCTTGCCCCAGACAGGTCCGGAAGTGGGTCTGCATCTCCGGTCCCTGAGGAAAGTCACGGAC